TAAACTTAATTTTATTTATGAATTAAAAATAGATGATATTTCAGAACTGATATTAAAAAAATAAAAATGATAACATACAAATGGGGAGAGTGACATTATTTCAAAGAGGTACAACTCATGTCATTAACTATGAAGATTGAAGAAAAACTTATACTGAATTTGGTTTGATTGAAGGTGTTCATTGGCCCGAAAATATAAAGTTTGTTTACTTTATTTATTTTTAGTTAGTATAATTTTTTATTTTTTGTCAATTTATTGAATAGGCCATCTCAACATGTTCATACATTTATTTTTTTTTTTATCATTTATCACATGTGTTAGTTTTACTTTTTATCATTTTAGAGTTATATATTACATTTAAATATTTTATTATTATTGTTTAACAATAACTCTCTCAATATGTATTTCTGACAAAGTAAGTTAAATTATGATTATCATAAATTCAATGCAAAATAAGTGTTGGCTATTGATCGATCCATTGACATTTATCATCTTGATCGTACCTTATTATGACCTGAAAATCTACAGAAAAATAAAAACATCTTGAAATTATATAATTTATTATATATAGACATTTGTACTTTTATTTTTCAACTTCTAGATGGACATAAAGTGATACAATTTGTATACAGAATAAGAATTAGATGATTTAGTTTTGAACATTACATCGGAATTTGGTTTCATTTATGAGTAAGAAATAGACTAATATTGTGGAGTTATATTGTAAAAAAAAAAGGAAATGATATAAAAAGAGAGAGAGAGTCTCAAGTCTCAACCATAAGAGATGAGAAAGAAATAATGATGATATAGTTTTTTGACTCGAAAGAATGATTACGACAATGTATATTTATTATCCAATTATTTAGTTTATTTTTTGTTATATATGAGACATTTTACATGGGTTTTAGTTCATTTGATTGAATTGGTTGAGCTTAAAATAAATAGTTGTTTTAATTTATTTATTTTTAGTCGATATCATTTTTTATTGAGACCGACATCTGATGTCATTTAAATGGCTGTGATTAAAGTGGTTGCCCTCATTTTAATTTATTTATTTATTCATAATTATGCAACTATAATTTTTTATAAATAAATATGGCATAATGTATTAATTATTGTTTATTTTTTGTTATTATAACACATGTTTTGTTAAGAGAATGATGATAATATAATATCGCTACTAATTTGTGGCAATAAAATTCAATAAGGCTTACTATAATACATCAACTACTTTTTTCTTATCATATATCATAAATATTAGTTTTATAAAAATAATATACTTTTTTATAATATATATAGTGTATATTGTATGTATTCTTTTTTATCTTATGAATTCACTTCCAAAAATTATATTAAATTTTATTTCACATTAATTGCGCGCAAAAAATAAATAACTTTGTTATTAACATGAATATTAACGATTACTGTGCCTATTTGTAAGTTTGCAAAAGGTGATCCATCTTGCATGTCAGTCTGAAAAAATTACTAAAATTTATTTAGATAATTTTTTTTTTAAAAAAAGAGAGAAAAATATGTGGACCTAATTTGAAACATGCAGTTCAAATTGAGTCATTTTTGTTTTTTATTTTACTTATTCAAATTATATTTTTTAATTGAATTATATTTCTACATGTTTATTTCAATTATTTCATATCAGTTTACCTATATAATAGTAAGAATGTCTTTATTATGCGAGAATGATGAAGTTTCAAGGAGTATAATTAATGTGAAAAATATTTTTCGTTGAATATCATAAATTATTATTTTAATTTAATTATATATTTTTTTTAAAAAAATATATGGTATTTTGTACTCACAACCAGTTATATGTTGTTTCCCGGAGTCACCGATTCCAATTGTTTGATGATTGTTATTTATGATAATGGTCATAATGAATACATTTTCATCGATTACTAAGATTATATTCATGAGAATATCTTGAATATATTAAATAAAATATTTATCTTACTTTTTATTAACTCTATACATGTTTTATGTATATCAAATTATAATTCACCCAAATTATTTTTAATGTCAAGCCGCGCAACGCGCGGGTCACGTACTAGTAATTATTTAGACCCAGGGACCTACGGAAATTTGCTAGACTATGCACTTGTTTATCAAATAATTCATTCAAAATGAATTTATTTATTTGTTTATTTTTTTTTTTAATTAGAATTAATTTTAAAAATGTAGTATTGTTAGTTGTTAGTGAGATTTTCATAATGTATTAAAATAATATTTAAAATAAAATAATTATTATTGATTTGATGTAAAAGTATGAGATAAATGATTGGAAATGATAGGTTGTTATGTGAATTTAATAATGATAATTATGAAAACATCAAGTAAAAAGAAAGCTATAAATTAGTTGTTTTCTTATTGTATTCAAGTCGGGTTTACAATACAAGAAGTCGGTTTACGTGGAACCGAGTTGGTTATCAAGCGTATTTAATGTGTCCGAAAAAAAACTCATCATACAGGAGTATATGTTGCTATTTATAGTATTTTTTGGCTCGTCTTTTGAGGCCGATTCAGCGGCACTAAATGTGAGTTGACTACATAGGGACGACTATTCTGCAAGGGAGCCCATATGTAATGATAAGGGCAAGTGCAACCGGCGGTCGACTGATAGGCGTCTTGTCTGTGTCGGCTTGACCTTGGTTTTTTATGGAGGTCGGTCTCACGAGTCTTCACGGAAGTCGGTCCTCGTCCTATTGACGAGGTCGACGTACGCATTTCGTACTAAACTTTGCCAAGTCGACTTTTCTCCTTAGCCCTTCGATACTTAGTTGAGTATTCGTGATTAACCTTCCACGTGGCGCATCCTGATTCAAAAGATCGAGTCGGTTGTCAACATATAGGTCCCGACATTAAGAGTCATACGAGTAGTGATGACTTATGATGTTGTTTTTTGTTTGCTAAGAAACCGACCTAAAATGCCTTTTGCGAATCGAGTTTCTTGATGGAGCCTCATTAATGGCGTTTGATGCGAAGCGAAGCAATGGTTTGAACAGACATGTCGGTTACAAAAAGGTATGTTCGCGTTCAATGCACTGGTCCGAAAAACGGCCACTTAATTTTCAAATGGTGGCTTTACACGTGCCTCTGTCTGATTGGCCCAGCTATCTTCAATCAAAAATGCGAAACGTTTTACCTGGGTGTCCGATACACGTGCCTATTCACCAATGGGTATCTAAATTTCCCTATAAAAACAAGATCTTTTTTCATCCACGGGGTTTCACTTCTGCGATTTTCTAACTTTCATATTTTCGAACTTTCTTTGCTTTCCTCTTGCGTAACTTTCTTTGCTTTCCTCTTGGGCGTTTTACTTCGACGTTCATTGTTTGTTTGGTCGAGGTGGACGGTTGCTCCTGTTGACCGACCTGGACGTACTCCATGTTTTCCATGCATGCACTCAACGCGAGGTGCGATAGGGCGTCTGCTTGGACGTTCGAGGTCCTTAGGATTGCTCTACCTGCGCCTTGAATTTAGATAACTTTTTTTTTGCCGGCGCTAGATACGGCATTAGCCGAGGTTCTTTTACTTAAAAAACTCTGAGGATTTGATTTACGAGCAACTGCGAGTCTGAGAAAATGTTGAGGTGAGTCAGGTTCATTGATTCCGCGAGGTTCAATCCGGATAAAAGTGCCTCGTATTCAGCTTCATTGTTGGTTACGAG